CTCTTTCGAGACTCTGATTTGGGAAGCATCTCCCCTCTGTCTCCGTTAATTCTATAGTGCACCAGAATAAAACTGCAATTAGCTCTAAGTCTCGTCTCAGGCTCTGTTTGGTTTTGGGTCTGGGGTCCACCCGGGGTTTGCCCCAGCTGTTAACTGGTTTCAGTCTGGTAACAACCTACAGGTGCCTGCTTGCAACTCTCAAACATCTGACATTTACGTTACGTGGCTCTTCCATTGAGCATGTATGGCCACCCCTGTATTATAGCAAATTGAGTCATCAAAAGAGGTTTATGAGACTTTTTTATATAATGGATCAAATACTTTAGTGAGACATTTAGGATGCTTTATCTGATAACCAGATTTCTACCAATACATACCATTAGACTAAGATGAATAACTCGCTTTTTGTCTGTAATAAAGGGCATTCATTCTTCGTCGTGGCCCCTGTGCATCACACATATGGGTGCTACACCTGCGCAGTGCCTAAGGCCGGAAAGATTACAAAGCTAACTGTTTTTTGGGGGAAAACTCCACTCCCCTCCCCCTCAACGATATAAATTGAGCAGAGTGTCCATCATTTTCTGTCTTATGCTGCTGCCGTTCGGACTAAGATGAATGACTCGCTTTTTGCCTGTAATAAAGGGCATTCAATACTGATGGTGCAATAAAGCAATATTTACAAGCCATTAGGTGCCTAAGTAAATATTTGTCACTTCACAGTCCATGATGAAATGATTATTTAAACACTGACAGGTAATCTGAAATTATGCTCATTAGTTTTTTTAAATCACTGTAATTTACTATTGTATAAACAATGCTATTGCTTGAGTAAATGAAAATTTAAATATGCTTTCTAATATATTAATATATGGTCTTCGATATTGTAGGTAATATTTGAAAACTCAATTATAATACTTTTTAAAGAGAACAGTGTAGCAAAAAGATGAATCTACAGCAGTAAAACAGAACCAAAAGGATACAAAATTGCCCAGTCTCCAAGAGAGCAGGAAGGAAGCGGGTTTAAAGCCTTACTCATCCATTAAGCTATATGGTGGTAGGCTGTCTCAGCCTAGGCAACTTCACAGGGCTGATGAAACAGGGACCCTTTGTGGTAATTGGATTCTAAGCTTGATGTAGGATTCTGTTAGTATCACTGATACTGGGCAAGAAGGGATAAGCAGGATTTTGTAAATTGGTTATTGTACCTGCAAGAGATGAAGATAATAAAACTGTCCTAGGTAGTATAGGCCTTGTGTCATATTAAAAAAAGAATAGGTTCACAATTAATGGCCTAATAATATACTGCTTTGAATCTAAGAGGATCGCTTGGTGAGTGTATTAAAATAGCACTGTATTCTCAAGTACTGGGTAAACATCTGTTTTTCATTTCAAAAAAGACCCTAACCCTAAACTATACTTTGAAGGTCTTTAAAGCATAATTTCTAGCATTGATTTCTAGCATTTCTATTCTAGTTTGATAAGACTGATTATCAAATGCCTATGGTTTATTCTGCTAAACCCAGTCTTTTGTGGTTAAGTCTCACCCTGTTTCCTTAGCTACAGCATACAGAACAAGATGAGTCCAACACCCAGTGATGAGTTGCATGTACAGAAATGTTGGCTACAGCCAGCAGAAATGGCTTCAGAACTGTTGGCTACAGCCAGCAGAAATGGCTTCAGAAATGTTGGCTACAGCCAGCAGAAATGGCTTCAGAAATGTTGGCTACAGCCAACAGAAATGAACCACTACAAAGGGTCACATTTAACATCACCACAAGTATAGTTTCACAGTGGAAGTCCTTCACATGGTCAGCTGTAAACCTTGATGCAATGTGCAGTTGTATGAATCATCTCTTTAAAAATGAAACAGTGTAGGGAGTTGATCTCTTTCAAATTATCCATTAGTTGAAAGGTGATAATTTGTTGACAAATAGATTCCTATGCTAAATTCAAAATACTGAATAAGTCATTGCTTTTTTGAGATCAGAGGCAGAAATTATGCCATGTTACCTTTCTTTATTCAACTCCTAATAGTTTTACAATTTGGATTCAATAAGAATTTAGCAAATCCCAGTCTGCCTTTGAGAAGCTTGAATTGTTTGATTTAAAGTTCTGTTCTTTCTGTTCAACAGCATCCTTCTTTTTGTGTTTAATGATTAATTCTTCATTAATCTCTGGCTTCCCTTTTAGGAAAGAAAAACTTGACATTTCCTCTCTTCCCTTGTAGAACTGCAAGTTCACAAAATTGCTTTCTCTTGTTGTTGTGGGGTATTCAAGAGGTCCTTCTGCTTTGAGTCTTTTTCCATCTACAAAAGAGATTTTACAAAGTAGTCTCAGAGCTACATTTTCACACAGCTTAATTTGCAGACTAGTGCCGCTAAAAACAGAACACCTGAGACAATTTTCACAGTTAAAATACTTTGTAAGGATGAAAAGTTGTCACTTTTTTGCTGATGTGACTTTTTTGTCCTTTTACACGGAACTTGAAAGAGAAGGGGCCCTTGCTAGCTTTGTAGAGAGGTACAGCTATGCAGAAATAGCATTTCATGGGGCGTTCTGAATAGCATTACAGAATGTTACATTCTGTAATTACAGAATATTTCAAAACTGGCATTTTCTTTTGCAATACTAGCATGTTAACCAGTATTATAAACATACCCATTTGGGCTTAAATCATCTAGTACTACATGATAAAACTGGATGAACCTCTTCACCTATCTAGTTCCATCATGTCCTACTTCTAATTAATTGCTAAGAGTTTTGTCCAAGTCTCTGGCCAGGAGTTAAAGAAGCAAAGTTAAAGAGCATAGAGGTTTCCCACAGAAGCTCTCACTGTGAATGGCATAAGCCACTGGCAACAGGTTTAAAAGGAGCTTGCTTCATCATCAAAGGAAACAAAGGTCCACATCCACTTTCCAGCTGTGCTTATAAAGTCTTTCTGCCTCATAGCCTTAGTGAACAACTGTATGCCCCAACATCAAATCCAGAAAATGATAAACAGGTTTTAGTTTAAAAATGAATATTTTCATTTAGCTACTTACAGAAACTCTGCACTGCTCCTCTAGAGTTCAAATTTTCTTGGGGCCTAATTGCTTCCAGGATTGCATGCTCCCACTGCAAGATGGTCTGAGAAATAAAAATTGTGAAAATGTTTCAATTGCCAGCAAACTGCTCACAAGGTATTGTGGAAAAAGTGGTATACAAAGAAATTGACTATGACTGTTCAAGAAGCATATGGGAAAGACACCTTAGGGATATTATAGCTTGTTATTCAGTAGTTACCATGGTGACACCAAAACGTCCTTGGGCATATGAACCAAAGCTGGTAGTAAATTCTCCTAACTACACAAGTCACTTGAGTCTCCAATGACTGCAATGGACCCAGCATCCCCAGCATTTGTGAACCTGTTCCTTCATCCAACGCTCCTAATTCCCATACCAGTAGTTACTTGCCCACAGTGCCTATCTCATCAGGATTCACCTAATATTGAATTACACATTTTATAAAATAATAGAACAATTCCAGCCTCACATACCTTGCAGTAATCAGCTGTAAAACCATCAAACCCTGGGGTTTTCCCTTACTCATGTCAATTCAATAATTTTTACAGCCTTTTTTGGGCATTTTTCTGATAATATCTTTATTTTACCAAGTATTTTTTCTGCCAAATTATATCTCTTTATTTAATCTTGATCTTTATAAACTTTAAATACAAAATTTGTTCTCAAATATGCTTTAAGTGTATCCCATAATAATGCTGACTTCACTTCATGAGTATCATTCATTTCATTAAAAAGTTATAACATTTTTTAATTTTTCAATAATGTGGATTCATAAGTAAACTTGTATTTAACATCCGAATCATAGATTTATTTATCAGATTAGTATTAGCAGCCTATTACACTTGCATTGGATCATGGTCAGATACCAAAATAGGTGCAAAATCTATCTTAGACAACAGAGATATAAGCATCTCTAACATAAATATATTGGCTATACATGCCTACGCTGAGTATTTTTTTGAAAAAAAGAATACGCTTCAGTTGTAGGGTTTAAAAACTTCCATCTACCCACTAAACCTTTTTTACTGAGTAATCTAAGAATTCTTGCCCCATGTGTAAATAATTTCTAGGTTTTGAAGTTGTATCTATTTTTTTAAATTTAAAACACAGTTGGTATCCCGTCTTAAGTTTATTCCCCCCATACATATCGCCTAACCTTAGTCAAAAATTCTTGTGTAAATTCAGTTGAGCTTCATTAGGAGCATAAGATCTAATTTATTTGAATCTTTCTCCCAATTTACCCTTTATTTTTCTATATCTACCACTGATCTACTACTTCAGTAAAAATTATGGCTACCCCCTCCCCACAGTTCTGATATTCCACTCGCACTGTATTGTTCTAAGGGTGGATGATTCATCATATGCTGTACCTGTGTGGTATGATGGGTCTCCTGTAACAATAACAAACCAGCACTTAATGTATTATTTTCATTATCCTATTTTGTTTAGCTGAAGAACACAGTCCATTCATATTAAAAGAAATTTCTTTTTACATATTCCCAGTTATGTCTGAGAAACACCACCTTCCCTTTCCTTTACTAGAAGCAAGTATAGGAAAGGGTGTGTAAGAACCAGGGACTTAGCAAATGGAAGTGGGCAAGCTCTGAACCGGGGTGTGGCAATCAGCCTGGAATGGGGACTACTTGCACCCTTCCTGCTTTCACCAGGGACTACTGTTGAGAGACTACGGTGCAGGGCAACTGACAAACGGGAGCCTTGGACTTCCTCTCATTTTCTCTTAGCTTCTCTCCTTCCACAAGGCCATTAGGCAGAAGACTCCTTACCTCTTTAAAAAGAAGATAAGCTGGAAATAGGGTAGGAATATTTGTTGGCTAGACAACATTGGGTTAAGGATTTGTAATTGCTTTATACTTCATTCTAATAAACTTTCCTTTTGTTTCTAAACATATGTCTGTGTGAATGCAAAGTGGGGGCATGTTCCCTTTGGCAGCAAAAGATCTTGAAGACTCTTCAGGTATCCAGGATGGCAAGCTCCCCTGCCACACTTTTTTTTTAGGTGTATTGCACCCAAGATTCCCTGGGGTAACAGTAGGCACAGTTATTCAGCCCAGTGTGTGCTTTATTGGTCTCACACTGAATCTTACGGTACTGGTGCTACAGTCATCATTTATTCTTGTTTTCAATGATCAGAGCTCTTCAACCTACCGACAAACTGATTCTAAAAAAGATCTTGGACTGTGCAAAAATGGACAGACTGACTTTGTCTCTGAAGGAGAAAGAAGATACAGACTTCTATCAAACTTGGGATTCTTTTTATCATTGGCTAGAGAAATGGGACTATGCATAGATTTAAATATGTTTATAGTTTAACATAAAAAGAAAAAAATGTGGGGGGCTGACCCAGCAGGTCCAATGTTCTCGATGATTGCTGTTGTTTTTAGTTTCTTTTTTGTTAGGTTTATTAAGAATAAAACTTATTCAAAAAAAAAAATGATCAGAGTTCTTCAAAGATCAGGGAGCAACCCTGGATCCACATTGTCAGGGAAGATATCCTGCAGCCATTGTGTCATTGAACCATCACATCCTGCGATAAGACTTGATTCATCAGCTCTAATTACTGGGAAATCTCCCAAAGCATTCAAAAATATGTCTCTGAGGGTGGACCTTCTTAAGGTATTTCTACCCCTATGGAGGGATTAGATACTGCAAAACTAAATGTCACCAAGACATGGTCTGATCAGAACACTGGAGTCGCCAAAAGCCCTCCTACATCAAAAACATCCTTCCTAACCACTGAGGGAAATATCAGATTGAAAGTATAACTTGCCTGCTTTGTGGTTCTACTAATCACTGAGACGGTCCCATGGTTGTCATAGAGGTCATGAAAAAAGTGATGACTCTCCTATTTGAGCCCTGAATTTCTTAGTTCTTTATGAAAATTGCCTCTAAATCAAGCACATAAGAGATGGAAAGATGCTGTGTGATGCTGGTCCCTGATCAGAGTAATCAGGACATACCTGCTCTGCCCATCCTTCTGTTTTACAGCTGTTGTGGTCAAATTCTTTCAAAGGCACCTCTGAACGAAACAGTCCAATTTGTGTCTGGATCCAACAAATAGCTGCTTTTTTGTCCTAGTGAGAAGGAGAAACCAAAACAGATTCTGTACAAGGAGTAATTGCCAACCAAGGTTTGACTTTACAGAAAGACAAAAACTTTGACTTTCCTTTCTCCTTTGATATTACAAAATATCTCAGAAATCAATTTCCTTTAATTTCTGTGCCTAAATGCTAAATTCAGCAGAGCAGAAACTTCTTTTCACCTTGAGACCAGTCCCAGAGAGATCCAAATAGTTCAACTTTTTGAAAGAACACAGGTATTTAAGTCCTTTATTGGTGATTCCTGGATTACCTATATAAAAAGAATACCGCATTGAACTAGTAGATAGCATGAAGGCAATAAAAGCAAATGGAACAAATGACTGAAAAGTGTCCTGGGGGGTGGGGTGGGGGAGTTATCAGTGCCAGAGATGCTGACCCCATAATTCAGAAGAAACTTCTGTTTTTTCAATTGACAAAGGGCCACATCTAAATATCTGGATATGTTTTAAAAGTGTTTGGGGTTGTAATAAAATACAAAATGCACAAATGTAGATGTTATAAAATAAGTGCCAATGGTTAAGTCTGGAAAGTTGGTATCAAACTTATGCTATTAAGTTTACAGTTAACAGAATTATGTGTACATGAATAAAAACTAAATTATGATCATGCATAGCCACCTTGCAGCTGAAGTTCTCTTAAGCCATAGATGCATTGTTTTCAACTTGGAGGGGGAAGGGTGTGTCCTTCCACATCTACTGTATGTACAGTCTTTTTGTGCTTCATATATGAGGGCTGCTCATGTAGCCACCACCCTTGTTTCAATCAGTTTACATTAAACCAAAGATAAAAAAGTGGAGAATCCTTTATCTAGCCCAGGGCTTGATTCCAGCAGTGGACATGAAACTACATGTACAACTGTTTAAAATAACAATTGTTATGAAGTTAGTTTGTTTGAAACTAGCCACAGTTAAGTTTAACTGCTGTTTGTCAGGTTGAGACAATAATACAAGCTGAGATTACTCAAAAGTGGAAGCAGCACTCCAGAATTCCTCCTGGCCATGCCCGAGAAATAAAAGTCAGTGGGTGGGCGCATGTTAGCCCACAGTTGTTAGGCTAGGGTTGATTTTAATCAACTATATTGAACAACAACCTACTCATGTTTCTCTCTCTAGTAACAGACACCCCAAAAGAGATTAATTTGGATTCATTAACATTTTTGATACAGACTAGAATTAAGAAGTATATTATACATTGATTTTAACCTGAAGCCATACTTACAAGACAAATCTAATACTGAGAGATTTTCAAGGCCCCTTTTCATAATTCGAACTGGTGCTGTCATTTTGCGAACACCAATATCCGATAAGCAGTTATCTTTCAGGAGAAGCTGAGTCAGACTAAAGTAAATGTAAAAGTTAATGTTTACATAATGACCTGGGGTCATTTTTTAAATTAGGAAAGTCTTTTCCCAACAGGCATGAACTACCAAATATCTAAGGCCTCCATTTCCACATTTTGCAAGTAATAAACAGAAGTATAGCTAAATATACAATTGAAAATGCTTAAATTGGAATAAAAAAAGAAAAGAGCATCCATAGAGTAGACTGTAGCACCACAATCAGCCAACTGCATGAACACTGTATATAATACTGATGGAAAGTGCAATCCTGTGGTCACTAGATAGCATATAGATGGCCAAAGAGCTTTTCAGAGACCCAGCTACAAGACTGGAAGCATGCTCTGATCTCATAGCTGAGTCTCCATTCTCTGCATGTTCTCCGCCCACCCCAATGCAGCTGGCAGGGAATGAACTGCACTTGCAAGAGCAACCTCAGAGTCAAGGGAGTTTAGAGGGTTTTATGAGGCAGGGGCGGGGGGAGCCTGCCACTGCCACAATACTGGTATTGTGTTGGTGTCTCACCTCCTTTTCTCCCACTCCAATTCATGACACTTACCTGAAATTAGCCTTCTAAGCATTTTGTAAGGTAGAAGGAGGACAGAGGTGACCTTTTTTATTTTTTATTAAGACATTTTATGCCGCCCCATTCGCCTTTGCCTCCATGCTTCTTCCAACCTGCACAGGATGCCTAGAATCCTTTGAATTCAGAGGATTATGGGTATCCAGACTGGACTGCACCCTAGCTTATTAAGTACTATAAAGCAACTGCTTGTTTTCTATCTACAAATGAAGATGATATGCAAACATTAAAAAATCAGAATACTAGATGAAATAGTTAACATAGTATCAGTATGGCTTTATGATGTGATTATTTAATAACTCAGAATTATGTTTTGTTGATCAGAAATTATTTACATTGCACAAAGTAAATAAACCAAGTTATATGTTCAGTAACAGGATATTATATTTGCACTTGCATAATTCTATTTACCTTAAACAGGGGCCTACACATTTTAGCCCTTCCAGGTCACCATTGTTTTTAGTCACCCACCAAACTGCTGGTACACACAGATAATTTGGGAAAGGAGCTAGGCCTTCCACTTTGCACCAAGAAATAGTAAGACACTTAGAAATAGCAAGAATATGCACCTGAGTGTTTCCAACCATCAGTGCAAAGTAGAAGACTGCTCTGTTAAATGTTTTCTGCACATGCTAGAAAATTCAGAGGAGACGCACTATGTTTCTCCCTCCATGCACAAAGTGGGACAACTCCACAATCTCATATTTTTCTCAGTGTTCCAAAGATCTGGGAAGAGAGAAGGTTTTGTAGACCGTTCTCAAAAGCAGCAATTAGTCACCGGCCACTGGATAATTATATTTGTACAATCTTGATCTATAGTCTATAATGACCCATGGTTACATGCAACATGTAGTTTGCTCAGTATCTGCAATACTGACCCCTAGAATTATTGTTAAACTAGTTTTCAGGAGCCATTGGTACACAAAACTGAAAGAACATCTATACAAAATGTATGCCAGCTATGAGATGTACAATGATTGGGCAGCATCTTATTATACTAACATTTGTTTCTCTTGGCCTATGAGCACAATGGAGATTATGTGGTTCTACAAGTAACCCAAAATGACTGGAACACTCTTCTCTGAAATTGAGCAGATCAGCAGAGCTCAGAGAAGGGAGCATCTGAAGAAAAGGGAGCTCACTGACTTATCCTGTCCTGAAGTAGCACTCATTTTCAGGGTTACTTTTAAAGCCACAAAATCCATATTGAACAAACATTTGTTTCTGCTCACATAAGAAACAGAAATGGCACAGCAGCAATATAGATACTGCCCAGTATGATGTATGGTATTGATGCCTTTGAATAGCATTTGAACATCAGATTGGTTTAAGTCTTTAAACAAGAAAGCAAACAAGTAGAATGCTGATTCCCCACACAATGAACTGATACCTAGATAGTCTCTCACTGGTGATATGTTCTAGCAGTTCATGCTCATCTCCAAGTTTACAAGAGGACAAATCCAAGCATATTAGATCCCGGAAGGATTTAATTTCTTCAAGTTTCTCAGAAATAACCAGATAACTGTAACAAATAAAAACAAATGCAAGATTTCATGGTTTGGTTCACTGTCTTCCATTCTATAAATGAAATGTTACTAGCCAGCTTTCCAACCAGGAAAATACTATAGACACACATTTGCCTTGGTAGCTAGTCCAGTTGTGATACATTTTGAAAAAAAAAACAATTGAGAAACTCTTCAATACCGTAACCTAATGTTCTGTTTCTGCTTTCCTTTATTCTGCTACACACTTCAGGTTGTCCTGAAATGCCAAGAAGCCATGATGACAGACAATACAGCATACAATGGCTGTTCCATGCCTCCCTCCCCCATATCTGGCATGTGCTAGATTAGAGGGGCCGATATTCACCAGAGCACCTTTCCACTTTGCACGAGTGAGGGGTGGGGGTGCACATAGTGGGGATCTGCCACTGGTGTGAGTGGGGGTGCAATCAGCTGGGCTTCACTGCCCAGTTGGAGCATTTGAGGCTTTCTCTCAAGCAGAAGCAAGGAAGGGAGAATCTTTTCTACAGGTCTCTGCCTACGCTAACCCGACTCCCTACCCTGCTTCTGCTGGAGAGCAAGTCCTTCAAGCAGAAACAGAGGCCTGGGCTAGGTGAGGAGTCAGGTTAGTGTAGGCTAAAGATAGGCTTCTTTCTTCCTCACTCCCTACCAAGAGAAAGTCTCTCAGGCAGGAATGAGGAGAACCACTGGGCAGCGGTGCCCCAACTGAGGCAGTGCAGCCCAGCAGATTGCCCTCCCCTCTCCTGTATGGAAGAAGCAGGGGAATCCCTCAGCCAGGCAGCACAGCACACTCACCCCTCCACCCTCGCATGCAGGAGGGGAGCAATTGACCAAGAGGGGCTGCTCAGGTTGGGAACATCACAGCCCAGATCTGCTGCTCAGATGGGAGAGGTTATTCTCAAGCATGTGTGGGTATAAGTGTGGGCAGCTTATCAGCTCCTGCTCAAAGAAAATATCAGGGGCAAGAAGCAGAACAGCTGGGATGGCTCTGACAGCTGTGCCTAACCAGGGCAGTTGTCCATGGTGCTCTCTAACAAGCTGTTTGGCAACAGCAGCAAGCTCTTGCCATGCAGCTCTCTTCCTCTGGATTCAGACAACACAACTAATAAACACGGTAAGCAAAAACCATAGAAGAAACCACTGGTTTTTTAAATCATGGTTTCTGAGGGCAAAACTTACCATGCTGAAATACCACAACCGAGTTCAGATGACATGAGAAACAATGAACCACTGTGGCTGAGCCATGCAAACCTAGTCTCTTACAACTTGAGTCTAAATTAATTTGCTTGGCTTCCAATAAAACTTAATTTCAATTAATTGTGAGTAGGAAGTTGAAGGTGGTGTTAATTTACATTTATAGGACAAAACCAGAGAATGCTTTTAAAAACTCATTTCTGAGAAGTAAAATAACAGTATATGCCCACTGCAGAACTGTTATAACAGCAACCAAATAAGAAAGGCATTTTCAGCAAGAGTTTGGGTAATGGTAATACGTGTAAACTGCATTTGCCATTTATTAAATGATGTGATCTGCCCTGTAATCATATGTAATGAGTATAAAGAAAAAAACAACTAAAACTCTAAACTAGATTACCATTCCAACACTAAGCAAGTTGTTTATGTTCCAATTTTAAAATATACAAAAATCACAAAAAGCCAAAGTAAGCCAGTCAAATAGCTTATTTGCCATGCCTTATTTCAGTTTACATCCAGCCAGTGTATGTTGCAATTTGCTGTTTTGTTAACACCAGTGAATACCTTTCGAGGTGGTGCAAAATACTGCTATAAACAAGTTATGCATACTTACCTATTTTTCAAGCATAGCGTTCGAAGCACTAAATTTCCATAAGCATCAGTAAATTTTTGCAAAGCACCAAGTCCTGTTCCGGGCTCTGTAAATTTTTGTCTAACATCTGCAGCATAGAAAAGCTTTTCTGCTATCTGCTCTGGAAAGCCAATCATTGAATCAACATGATTAATATTGTCAGCAATGTAACTCAGGGCTAGGCTGAAGAGAGATTTAGCAGAATAGCGGAGATTCCCCTCCTTTGTGTAAGTGAAGATGAAGTGATCTGTCCTTCCATTGTCATTTTCCCTGTTCACACAGAGCTCAACAGAGAATCCCTCAGAGAACAGTTTTGAAGGCCTTGGATTTGGAGCACAGTTGTGTACTCCTCCTGACACTTGGTTTACTTTATATAGCTGACCATTTTCCCGGACGTACACAGAACCTCTGTCTGGAAAGTTTTCTGTATAGACACAGCATGACATTCCTCTTTAAAGTATCTGGAGAAGGGATGGGGGGAGATGAACAAGATAAAACATAAAGCAAATAAAGGTTTTAATTTAAGAAAATATTTGTTTGTAACTTCCCCAAAGGAGTAAGTCCTCTGGAGTTTACGATTCCTGCTTAAAACCACACATACACAACTATCAGTGGGTAAAGAGAAGGAAAAGTGGATGTTTAAGGCACAGTTCCTTTCCTTGTATACCTTGCTGTTTTATAGTTTGGCTTTCATGTCTTCCATCATTTCCTTTAGAGCAGAAAACCCTCTATAGGAAGAAAGAAGTGCCACATGATCTTTCCAATTGTAGTGCTACGAGTAAGACTCCTTTATCTGGAAGCATCTACAGACTGGGAAAAAGTTTCTCAAGATACATTTCTCTTGACTCTGAAATCCACAATCCTAAAGACAGAATAAAACTAGAACATGAGCTTGAGGGAGCCATGATTTCTAGCTAGATATCTATTTCTCATGTATGTGAAAAGAAGTCTTTTCAAAATTCTGCATTACCAATATAGGACTAGATCCAGATTTAGTCCTACCTCCAGCAGATGAATCACAATCAGTCAGATTTAAGTTTCACTGAATGATGGCAAGTGAACTTAACTCGAACTGCTTTCAATGTGTCTACTTCAGTTATTGCTAAATGTGTGAGGGAGGGAGGGGGGAAGAGGCTGTGTGTATAAGCGAGCACATCAGATGCTGTGAATGTGTGAGGGAGGGGAGGGGAGGGGAGGGAGAGAAGAGTTTATGTGTGAGACGTGCGGCGGTGAGCTTTTCCTGTTTCTAAAAAGCTCTCTGTAGTTTAGTTTAACTAGCGTATCAAGAAAAGACACCGTTCTCCTAGAAAAACTACATGCAGGGAGCTTCTGTTTGAAGTAGGGAAATAAAAGCAACAGTACAGCCATACCCACTGCCCGAAATGTGCGATCCAGGATTCGGCAGTCCCGTCTCCTGCCTCCTCTTACATTAAGTGCAACGCGCCCGAGCCAGCAAACTTTCGGCTCCCAACCCCCAAAGAGGAAAGAAACCGACCATAGACGCAAAAGACAAAGTACAGCAAGAATTCTCCCGCCGCCACCGGCCCCTCCGTCCTCGAGGCGAGCGGGGAAGATCGCTCTTCGGAGCTCCCAGGGGTCCCAGCTACGGGCCACTAACCTCACAGGGCACCCGGTGCGGAGCCGGAGGGCATCTCGAAAGCAGCGCGCGTGCGCAGAACATAAAGCTAAAAAACGATGGAGTCATACGCGTTCAGAGCCTAGCTTAACGTAGATACATGCTAGGTTTATATGTTTTAAATACCATGAAGCTGGAATCTAATAGACCCGGTTATTTGGGAGTTTCATGTAACTTAATGGGATTTATTTCCGAGTAGATGTGGTAACAATTGCACTGAGAAAGTTAAAACCTCAGTGCATTTGCGTGGATGAATGGATCACAAGGGTAGAGTCTAAGAGGCTGCATTGCTTTTTCTGCGACCCGAACTGTGTTTGAGGTTGCGCGGAGTGAGGTCAACAAACTTATGGAAAATGGGCCGTGGGAAGGACGATAAGTGGTATAATTTCACATCAGAATGTTAAAACGTTTTATGACAACCCAGATCGTTGCTCGGAAGCTGGCCACGCGTTCTTAGATGCAAATAAAGAAACTGCACATCAATGCAGCGCAGCCACGCCTGCGATGCGAGAATGGTTAGATCCATCCTAAGCTAATCACAGTTGAAAACAGTGGGACTTACATTACCCATTACCCTAATTTTCACGTGAATGATTTCAATGGGATGTAAGTATAGGCTGCAATTCTACATACCCTTGCCTAGCAGTAAGCTCCACCATACTCAATGGAACTTCTGAATGGACAGATCGAAGACGGCGCTGTTGGCCCGCATCCAGCCCAGTCACTATGGGCAGCATCTGAATTTGCAGCACAACTTCTAGATTATTTGTGTATTTTAAAACAGGCACCGTTTCCCCAAGAATGAGCAGCCGAGACAGAAGAAACAAAAGGAACTTCAGTATTCTCTTTTTTCCTGCGGCGCCGGGGGGGGGGGGCGATAGTATGCGGCCGCCAGCCCAAACACAACCCACAATGGCTGGATTTCACCATTTCCTGTGAGCGGCCATCAGTTCCCCCCAGGAAAAAAGGCAGGAAACATGGCGTCAAAAATAACAAGGAAGTCATGATTCGGGCAAGGGAATTATCTGAGTTGATCGTCACGCCTCTTCCCGTCTTTTCCTTTCGAGTCGGAAGGAGCTGCTAAGCAACCAGGCAACGTTCTGGGCGGATGGCTCAACAAGAGGTCTTTCGGAAGCAAATCTGCGTGAACATTAAGGACGGTGAGGAGACGAAATGAAATTTACAGATTACTGCCTCAGTTCTGAAGGAGCCGATGTTATTCTGGCGACGTCAAGTGATGAAAACTATCCTCCAGAAAACATCACAGATGGGTAAGTCTTCATCCCGAGTCCTCCAGGGTATCGGGGGGGGGGGGGTTGCTTTCAGGAGAAGGTTTCTCACAAAGCTTTCTTTAGCACATTTTCTGATTTCAGTTTTTCAGAATTTACCATTCCTTTGGAATTAAAGCCATCATCGTTTTAAAATATTAAGTGCTTTAACATTTTGAAATTAGATAATGATGTCAATATTTTAGAAAGGATTTGTTAAAGGATTTTATTAATTAAGAATTTTTATTAGTTTAAGGAACAATTCTATACAAGTTTAAACAAAAAAGGTCTACAATTCCCAGAATGCCTCAGGGTAGAGCATGCTAGGAATTGTAGGTCTTTTTTCTGTTTAACTATGCGTAGTGTGGCTCTCTTAGTATGCCACAGGACTCCAAATTACCTTGCCAATTTACCCTGAAGATAGCCTTGTAGGAAGTCAGTGTCTTTTGTCTTTATATTGCTGAAAAGAACTGGTTGAAAGAATAGTGGGTTGACTTGCATAATTATTAGGCCTGGAAATGATTTGTGGCTCCAATAAACATACCAGTCGTCTCTGGGATTTACAGTCAGTTGTATCTGAGAATCTTATCAATTTTTTAAACTTCAAATTTAGGTCACAAGTATACTTTCTAAATGACCATAGATGATGTTTTTTCTAACTAATAAAAAATGAATCTAGTTTGGTATGACATGCACACTGAATCTATAGCTATAAAATTGTATACAATTTTATGTGCTTTATGTTATTATCTATATTATCCTTGAGGATGTTAATTTAACTGGCTAGAAACAATTTTTTATCTGGGAAAATTCAGACTAGAAGTTTTCCAGCTTAGTCTTCTTGCAGCCTCTGAACGTTGTTTGCTTGGAAGTAGTCTCACAGATAATAGGATTGCCGACATAGGCACATGTAGGTACCCACATTACTTCTCTGTAGATATGCATAGGATTGGGCTGATAGCACTACACTGATAAACGTATGCCATTAATTATGTTAGAGGAGTAATTTGTACATGAGAACTGAATTTACTGGCTGAGGTTTTTATCCTAAATACAAATTAGGAAGGAATAAGTCCCACTGAATTCAGTGTGCTTGCAACTAAAAGGGCACAAAAAATGGGTTGCGTGAAGATTTTCATATTTGATCTTTTACAATGCCCTAAGCCTCTTTTTTATTATTTTTAAAACATCCAATATGAACTTCATTTTCCTGTGAAGCTTTTTGCCCAAGGGACAAACTGGACTTGATGGGGGAAATCCTCAGTAAGAGTTTTTTTAAAAGAAAAAGTAGATTGTAGATTGTTTTCATCTGCACTATTTTCCTCATTGAAATCCTCTCCCCCAGACTTGCTGTTTGTAAGCAGGGAAAAAATGTAACAGTGCCCCATAAGGCAGGGCTGGAGCATTTACAAGTTTTAAGTTGTATTTACACTTTTTGCACATTTAGACCAACCCCCTTTGCCTTTAGCTCTGCTGTCTACTAGAATGCAGCATATAAGATCTTCTCTGAAATTGAATTCAGCTCTCAAACTGAGAGAGGTTCCCCACCTCAACATAAGATCTGTTTTCCACACAGGGCGAGTAACATCATCTGTGGGGAGAGGGACCATTCCCCTGCAAGAGGGTAGAGGTAAACCTCCCTTGGTCAATCTTAGTATGATTGCCTTCTCCCTTCTAGTTGCTATGCGTGTTTCTTAAAATCTTGTGAGATCCTGATCAAATATCTCACAAGATAGCTAGTTGGTGCTTTAGTCCATTATTTCTCTCAATGTGTTGCCTGATTCACAACCAACATTTAGATTACTGTCTTCTTTGACCAGGATCCTGTCTTTTTTCCTTATGTGCTATCTACATTTAAAAATCCTAAAGTTAAAATTAGCAATGTCAAAATGTAGCACTGTTATTGGAACACTGAATGTCTTTGTATATGTAAATAGAATCACATTTCTCTATTGAAGATATATTTGCCATTTCTAATATTATGCATAATATTCTAATATTATGCATTCATACAGCATTCTTTAACCTTTCTTAATAGGCGATCTGAAACCTTCTGGACAACAACTGGGATGTTTCCACAAGAATTTATTATTTGTTTTCATAAATGTGTTACCATCAGCAAACTAACAATCCAGTGTTACTTAGGTAAGTTAGCCAAGTTTCAGTTTTCAGATTAATGTCCTCCAAAATATAATAAACTGTGTTTCATAGGTAAATGATCATTTACATACTAATAGTATCTGGAAACTGAGACCAAATTTCCTAACTTGAAGTCTTTCCCTAGTATTGTAACTGTTTGTTTTTATATCCTATCACTTTTCCTTTTGCAAGGAGCTCAAGGCGGATTGCATGGTTTTCTTCATCTCCCTTTTATCCTCACAACAAACCTGTGAGCTAGGTTTGACTATTATTGATGAGCCCACAGTCACCCTGTGACTTCACTGCTGAGTAAGGACTAGAACCTGGATCTCCCATGGCCCAGTCCTCACTCTAACCACTACACTATACTCCAGTGAGAGTAAGCACAATTGTTATTTACAATTGCTTTCACAGCTCATATTGAATTATATTACTTTTATTTCATTAGTGTTTGTGGGTCACAAGTTTGTTTGTTTTTACTTCCATAAAGTGATTCTCCCCCCTCCCCTGCACTCTATGGCAAATGTCCTTGAACAACTGTAAAAAATCATTCTTCAACCAAGGCAAGGGGATTGTGAATTTGGAGTTGGATGCTAGGAACTCCCTTATACTTTTGGCTCAGAAAGTCAGTCCTGCATATTTTTGGTAACTTGATTGAAATATCTTCAACCCCTTCATGGCTGCTTTGAACCCATCATATAGCGGGGAGTACAGAGCCAAAATGGCTCCATAGGCTGGTGAAAACTTGCCCACAGGGCCTACTGGTGTATGCACAAAAGCAGGTCCTGTGCAACAGCTTTCTGCAAACTGAAGTCATCTTGTGGGAGGGGAAGAAGCACATTTCCTGCATCCAGCTCCTGGCATTTGGCATACATAATGGACACATGCATGCTGCTGCATTCATGGAATGCAATTGAGAAAGTCCAGGTACTTCCCATCCAACAGAAGACTAGTTTGGTCAGAATTACTAATGCTATCAATGCCCAATGAGGAAAACTAGTGAGCAATGTGGAGACTCATGCCTCCGTAAATCAAAGCATCTCTTTGGGGGAAAGAGGGCTATTTACAGAATCCAGTGCTAGGTGAACAAATACTCATGCACACTGTTGACGTTTCTTCCTCTTTATATCCCACTGTAGCAGTTTCTTGTGCCTCCTAGAAATCTGCTTTTTAGGGTCCAGAGCAGATTTTGAGGTTTCAGGGAGAAGGGAGGAAATCATTTCCTTCTTAGTTCCAGTGACAGAAGCAATTTCATTTGTGGATCCACCTCACTGGATTTTGTTGTGCATGTGACTATGGGTGTCAGGTTGTGTGTCTGAAAATAAGGTGAATAAAGTGAGGTAAATATTTTTTTTTCAAAGAAATGATAGATGCTTCCCTATTTGTCGCAGTCTCTGTGTTCTTTGTCTTTTAACAGTTCTATATATGTTACTTTCCTTCTGTGAATTGTGAGAATTTAACATTGTGAATTCACTCATCAATTTAAATAGTGCTTAGAGTATTGGACAAGAGACCAGAGGGATCCCAGGTTCTCAGCCATGAAGCTCAATGAGTGACTCTTGGTCAGTCATGGACTCTCAGCCTAAACTATTTCACTGTGAGGATAAAGATGGAGTAGAGAACTATATAAGCTGCCTTGGGTTCCTTGCAAGAGGAAAAAACATGGAATATAAATGCAGTGTAACAATAATAATTACAATTTTCTTACTGATTTTTAAAGTTTAATGTAGAGCCAAGCAACTGCAAAATACAATTGACACAGGATTTTTTTAAAAATCATTTTTTTTAGTACAGACATTACGGATTGAAAAAAGTGTGGCTAAAGAACCAGTCAACTTTGAACAATGCATTGAAAAAGGTAATTATAGACAGCTGTGATTAGATAGATCATCACAATTTGATGTACAGATCAATTAGGCCTGCAGTCTTATGCACAGTTATTGGAAGACTGCCTTGTTGAACTCAGGCCAAGTAAGCATGCACACATAGGATTGGCCAGTAAATGCAATGTTAGGGTCAGAGCAAAGTTTGTTTATTTGAAGTTTAAGGAATCAAGAGTTTATTCACAACATCTTTTACATGCTGAATTATACTAGTTGCCTTTCTAGTAAAGCTGTCATCTCTTTGTTATTTCCCCATTATCCTATTCATTTAATAGTTGGGTGCTCTTTATACTACTGTATTTGAAAAGATTATTGTAATGATGATGTAACTTTTTGAAGTGCATTGAGAACTTCAAAGTGCTGAAAACATGCCAATTACTATTTGAGTTCTAGCTGATAATTTCTAGAGTTCAGTGGCTATGAACCATTAGGACTTAGTGAACAAACAAGCTGTGATTTGTCTTTTGAATGGCACCTCCTTAACTTGTTTGGGAATGACAATCTACAAACAGGTGCCACGAGTGTGAAGACCATTTACCATTTCCCTGATTTGACTAGGTGGAGGTACCTTTAAATACCTTAAATTCTGGATTGAGTCTGAGAAACTGATAAATGTTAATTTTATCAAGCACTGACTCCAGTGAAACTTGTGCCAAATATTTTTGTACATTTCATTGAAGGTAGGATCTAATTCTTCACTAGAGTTAGTTCACTAGATATTTTTACATTCCCTGTGAATGCCAAGACTGGAATCCAAACAATTTATTCCATATTAACTTATGCTATTTTATGTTCAGAGCTACAGTATAAAGAAGGGGAGCTTCAAATTGAAGAATTTTCTGTGAGTATACATCATCTAACATTAACACAATATATACAAAGGGCAGATAATGAATGGGCAGGGGAAGGACCACATATTTAGTTAGTCCATTTAAGAAGAATTCCGAGTTGGGAAAAATAATAGAATAAAGAGGAATTTTCATGTTCACACTTCGAAACATATCCATATATTTCAGTGAGAATCTAAAATGCAGAGACATTTAACACTTCTTTATGTATGAAACTGTGGAGTTAATGTTAAAGGATGGTTTATATTAACTGGTTATTTATGCATATTTGGACATATGTTGTACAGGCCTAAGCATGTTTACTCAGAAGTAAGTCACATAGAACTCAGGATGATGCAGTGGAGTTCTGATTCTGATCAAATATATTTTAGACAGTTTTGGAAGCCTGACCTTAACTACATCAATGAATGATTGCGACCTGATCATAACATGATCGAATAATGGATTGGTGTCGCACTTTTTATACTTCACCCTTAGTATTTGTATGTTCACACAAGAAGATTTAATACTGGACTCTGAATTTTGTACAAAAATTTGCTTTTAGTTAACTTTTCCTATGCTGAATATTGAGCACAAATGGAAAGCATTTCAATCACGAAGCAGTTTCAACTCCCATTGTTTAGTATAAAAATCAAAAACACTGATTTTTTTGAAATTAAGGGGACTTCAAAAAGCTTCACCTATCTGAACTGTGCCCATTGTCATATAACTATTGGTGTTTTCTTTTTGACAGTTTCCTGAGAAGCAAGCTACATACTTACGATTCATAATTTTGTCTGCTTATGATGCTTTTGTGTCAGTTCACAGGGTGATAGCAGAAGGAACAGTACTTGATATTTCAGCCCAGTCTTAATGTTCTAATTGCAGCATAGTGGATATTATATTGATTTTTGCAATAGAAATTGTGTAATTGAAGCCTTGAATTATTTTGTAAACTGTGTCTTTTGTATGTCTTCATCACAAAATATTATTTTGGTTCGCATTTTAAAATATACTTATACTGATAAGAGCTTGCTTTGTGATAATATAAATTCCTCGCTGTCATTTGAAGTCTCATTTTCCTCACCTAACAATTGTTAAGGTATATGATTGGAGAAGTGTTTCACACCTGTGGTCTGACTCAGTATGAGCTATATTCCTGACCACCACCATTACTTTGAGACTATTTCAGTTGTGTGAAAGATATATTCCAGTGCTGAACATTCTGCCTACTCTGTACTCTGACTTGTTCTGTGCTGGAGTGAGCTCCAAGGTTCAAAATAAAAGAAAAAATTCTCAGTGAGTGCAGTAAAATACCTGGGCAAACCTAAAATAGTTTTGTGGATCCTAATATTCACCTCTTAAGTAAACAATATGCATTAGTAACTATAATGTTAAGCGTACTGGATTCTGTTTGTCTACTATGCCCATGCTGCAGTGGGAGTGACAGCTAATGTAATAGGGTAGATTAGTGGAGCTCACAGAAAGGAGCCACACTGATCAGTCCTGATCTGGAAAGGTTTCCCAGGTTACTTTTAGAACTGGAAAAGCCTAATTACAGAAGCTATTTCTTTCAATAGCATAAAAGAAATAGTGGGAGTGCAGCAGCAGTATAAGGTACTACCCACTATTTGCTGAAAGTGAACAATAAGAAGTGGGCAGGTTATTCCCAAATGGTTGCTTCTTCCAAGGTACCAGGAAGGTTGGTCATTATTTCAGTTTGAATATGCATACATCAGAAATGTGGCATCAGAATCTCCATGACATTGCATAATATACATTCAGTGCATTGTTGCGTCACAATAAATGGAGATTTGGAAAAGTTTTCCCTCTTCCTCTTTTAGAAATGCATGCTTCTGTTGCTACTATAGAATGTTCTGTAGCTATTGATTATCCTTTTGTTCAATTGACAACCAGAATAGTTAGACATGGTACTTAAAAATAACACATTCAGGCCTATAAAGATTGTTTGACGAAGTTTTAATAACTATAGTTCAGCATCTTGTTTCCAGAAATACTTTTTTCAAAATCAAGCCATAGCTTTCCATGTTTTAACTATGACTGTCATAAACAAATATGAATAGAAACAAAATAGAACAAGTTATTATATTGGTTCCATTCAGAAAGCTGTGATAATCAATGTCAAAAATCTATGCCAGAAAAATCAGAAATACTCATTGCTGCTCAGTGAGGGTAAAGGGCTCCATTCAAAAGCTGCCCATGTGCAAATGTGTGCTACATGCTGGACAATACATACTTGGAGTTACAACCCTTCCAGACCTTGCAAGCATCCTTTGCTCCACCAACAGACTTCCAGAAATCTTGGTTCTTTATAAAGGCCACTTCCGCTTAGAACTGCAGCAAATCCAAATAGCTGTAGCCTGGCAAGCTCAACTGGGGAGTTAAGGAGATGCTGTAGGGTAACGCATATACTCAGGCTCCCATTGTGAACTGGTGACCAAAGAGGAGGTCATCATCTTGTTGAGTGGCATGGAGGTTGCTTCCTGTGGGAAGCCGTGCATATGAAGCAAGCTATCATGTAGTTCTGACCATTTCCATTGTACCAACTAGCACAATATCACAGCTATTTTGTTTAGTACAGTTGTAAAAAGTTGGAATGATATGGTGATGTACTTCATATAAATAGCTTGCCTCATGGAGCAATCTCTTTTTTTCTTCTTCTTCTTCTTCTTCAGGTGACTGCCACACTGTTTGAATGTGTTACTTAGGCCATAATGATTAATGATAGATTTGCAATCATCAAGAGTAAGTGCAATTATTAGATGCTTACTAGTGTGTGCTTGCACTTTTTATATAGAGGGGTAATTATTGCCAAACACTTAACTGACAGCGGGTTTGCACAGCAGTGACAAGCCACAGTGGTTTCTTGCACAGGATGGTCTGCCATGCTGTCCAAACCCTGTTGTCATATTTCACCATGATATGTTTGGCTTTTAGAAATCATGGTAAAAAACAGAAGTCTGCCCTGTGGCTTTCATGCTTCTCCATGATTTGTCCGTCTGAACCCAGCGTAGTGGCTTCCACATTGTGGTATCCGGCTGCAACAGAGTCCTCTGCAAAGAGCAGCAGTGAAGAAGCTTCTCCAGCCATCCAGTGTGGGATTGAATTCAGTTGTGGCGATTGATAGGTTATGTGCCAACAGCAGGAGGACTGAACAGGGACAGTGGAAACCATGCTAATGCAACTTGATCGTATGTCAGGAACATCCAGGCAAAACTTTGTACATTGTGGAAACCATGCAGGGCTGCTTGTCATAACATGTGAACCTAGCTACTGCATCAGTTTTCATTCATTCAGCAGACCACAGAGAGAGTGCGTTGCTCACTTATGTGATTACTACAAGGTCTGATTTATAGATTTAAACTAGGTTTTCCAAAAATGCACGTACTTCTTGGGGATGATAATTCCAAGGTCCCACTCCACCCTAGAAAATGGAAAATACAATGTTTCCTTGAGCATTTTTTGGAGGACAGGATGCAAAGTACAGGGAAGGGAACAGAAGACTATAAAGAAATATTGTTAGAGTCCTAAATGTCATGAACATACTCTGTAGCAAAGGATGGCATCCATCAATGATTCAAATTATTTATAATTATACAAACGCTACATTTCCCCAAGCAGGTCAGTCAATGGGTATCCTTCAGTTGTTGATACTAAAGAGCTAAATTACTTGTTACATGCAAATTCATATAACGATGCATTAATAGTCTTTTTTAACATTAAAAAACAGCCTCAAGAGGTGATACTTTTGAACAGAAGCAGTGGTGCTTGACCCATTACCATCCACTACCTTTCTACTTCAGATCACCCCTACCTCCCCACAGCTGCTTCCTCTCTCAAAATTCCAGGTTCATACTTATATTTACCACTACACAAGGGAAGAGATGGGGGGGATGACAACTCTGTTAATCTTAAGATGACAAAATTTCCCTTTCCCCACCACTTAGCTGAAAACTGCAACTTTTTGTTTCTTTTTTGGTTAACTGTGGAGGTTGCATATATTAGCATGAAATGGACCCTGAGAGCAGGAAGCACAACTTACAGAAGAATCTTATGGCCCCTGAACAAGGGCTAGAGCAGGGCTCTCAAACTCAACTTACCTGGGGGCCGCTGGAAGTAGAGTCTGGGTGAGGCTGGGCCGCATCAAGTGGTGGTGGTGGGCCGCTCATCCCGCCTCGCTCCCGGAGGCCGGTCCAGGCGCCGCCGGCACTTTGAAGGCTGCAGGGCCCCTCCCCCGTGCCCCACCCGTCCCGGCAATTGGCCCACGGGCCGCGAGTTTGAGACCCCTGGGCTAGAGGATCACAGGGTGCTTTGGACTCCTAGATCTGAGGTTGGAAAGGGATTCTAAGCTTGGTTCCCCTTCCCACGGTGGAAGGAACCATGCAAACTTCTCTGAAGTAGTAACAGCAATCTCAGAAAAGGGGCAAAGAGGGTCCGGTGGGCAGCAGAGGGGCAATGCATTCTGGGGGTTGTCTAGCTTCCTCCCTCCCAATCTTTAGAGTTCCTGATAGATGGCTGAAATAGGCCATTGATCTGACTTGTAGGTTGGGAGGAGCATGGAAACAGATTGCCTCCATCTTCTTCCTGCCCTGTATAGGATACCTTTAATCCTCCCAGTTCAGAGGCCAGAGGCGTTCCAGCTGGATTGCACTGTTAGTTATTTAATGCCAATAATTTCATCATGAAACAGGCTATTTGAATTTTCTTGTGCCTAGCTCTGTGTTTGGTAAGCACCATGTTATTCTCGTTAAAGAGATTCAAGTCCCCATTTTGCTCCTCACTGCTAGTCTTATTAAAGTGAATGGCATTTAGAAGCAGGTTAGTGTTCCTTGGAAGTTTTTTTTAGTCAAAGCAGAGACCAGCTAACATTAAAAGAAGACAAGTTCAGGCAGCCATCACTTCTGAATGTTGATGGGAAATGACTTTGTTGACTTTTACTGTGATAGGAATTCTTTCATATCCTGTTTCTTTTATGAATAATAAGATCCAAGGAACTCAAACCCTACAGACCAGTCTTCATGCTAATACATATTCTAGGGCTTTACCATCCTTCTAACATTTTGTTACCTTGCAGACAACCTTTCCACTCTGAATCACATAAAGTCTTTCTGGCAGAGCTGCATATTTGGAACTGCTCAGGTTTTCCATTGTGTCTAGAACCACAGGGCACAAGGGGTCCTCTTTCAGTAGGATCTGTGCAGCCTGCATACGATCTTGGAGAGTCCGGTGATGCTTGATTACAATGTTGTTATAAAAGGCCCATCCATCTAAAATAAATAGTATGATTAGTTTAACTCTATAGCATCTGTTCATAGTTAAATTCATTAATGCAATTGCACCTACTGCAAAAATTTGCAGGGTGCAGCACTACTTGTTGAGGATTCTAGTCAACTCTATAATTTTCTGATTCTAATTTCTTTTTAACAGCCAATCAGAAATTTGAAGCCACTGAGCACATTTGTTTTTCATTGGGCTGCTTTGGTGCTTAAAACACTTTTTTTTTCTTAAGGGATTCTTTATTCTTCTACAAACTTTGTGCATGAAGAGTGCCATTTTGGTTACACAGAATAGTACTCACATTGTGAACACTGGAAATAAAAGCCTGATTGTAAAGCTTGATGGAGTACAACACACTTAGTAGAATGTGAGTTTTATATTTAATCCAAAGCTGATGCTGGTTAATAAACAGTGGTAAAGTTATTCAAGCCCTCATTTTAAAGCATTCATTTTGGCTTTCCATGAGACGTCAGACAAGAATTTTAGAAGTATTTGAGCATTTATTTATTTTTTTGTATCTTCAAAGTCAAAAAAGTAGATCTCCAAATGTTTTAGACTTCAACTCACAACATTCCTGAACCCTGGATATGCTGGAAGGGGTTTCTCTGAGCTGGAGTCAAAAACATTGGAAGATGTTTAGCATGTCTGTTCTAAGCCTTCTGAAGTAACAGTTAACATATTTTCAACAGAGAAATAACAGTCTTTCTTCACCTGAAGCATGGGCTTCTTCAATGTAGATCACAAGGAAATCAGCTACAGATTTGAAATCTTTGACAAGCTTCTTAAACTCATCAAATTTGAACATAAATGAAGGTCAGGTGCAACTTCCAAATGTTAGGACCAGTGGCCTGTTACCTGCAATGGACACAAGCAGTCTTTGAAGTGTAAGGACAACTATTTAATGAACAATAGTAATAACAAACAAGTAATGAGGAAGTTAAGAATAGTGACATACTCCCCTGTATACAAGGCACACAAGCTTGTGTGTGATGGTATCAAGAACATATAATTGGGAGAGCTAGAAGGGAGACATAGGGTGCTTCCAGACAAGGGATACTGCACAATTGGCTTGTCTTAGGCACATAGTTTGAAAATGTCGGGGGGGGGGGTATCTTCTGTTTGCAACTTTCCCATGTTTTCCCCTTGCTTCCACCCTTGCGGATGATAATTGATTTCTTACCACAGGAAATCAATTAAGGAAGACAAGGCAGAATAGCTGTACAGTGTGTTGATTGGTAGCACTAGGGGCTGTCCATTTGGAAGTATCTGTGCACTCTTTCTATTAAATCTGATAAATAAATCTGATAACATAAAAACAACTGAAAAAAATAGCATAAGTAATTGTATTAGCTCCTTCATGGATCACTGCCTTGTCGTGGCGAAGGGGCTTGCGTAGCTCAATGAAGCTATGAGCTATGCCGTGCAGGGTCACCCAAGATGGACAGGTCGTAGCAGAGAGCTCTGACAAAACATGATCCACTGGAGAAGGAAATGGCAACCCACTCCAGTATCTTTGCCATGAAAACCCCATGGACTGTTCTAAAGGGCAAAAAGATATGATGCCGGAAGATGAGCCCCTCAGGTCGGAACGTGTCCAATATGCTACTGAGGAAGAGCGGAGGGCTAGTACTAGTAGCGCCAGAAAGAATGAAGC